GATTTTAATGTTTTAATTGTGTTTTAATCTTTTGTGTGATTTTAATGTTTTAATTGTGATTCTGGTGTTTGTTTTATGTGATGATTTGTGATGTGGACTGTGAAGCGCTTTGTGTTGCCATGTGTATGAAAGGCGCTCTACAAATAAACTTTGATTGATTGATTGATTATTTACCAGCTCTGAGGACTTGATAATATCACTTTCATAAAGGACCCGAACCCAAACAGTACAACATCTGAATCTCATAATTTATACGAGACAAGGTATTTTAAACTTTCTACAATAACTAGCTTGATCCATTTAAACTGCTGCTTTGTAATACACACTTTATTTTAGAACCATCTGAAACCCCATTTTCCTTTTACAGAAGAAACAGGCCATAACTTTAGTCTGTTTGCTGACACTGCAGATCCCAGCACCTCCCAAACCTCACATTAAAACCCATTTATTGTTATTAGACATCTGAACCTTGCTTATATTACATTACTTCTAAATTGAATCCCAGCGTTTGAATAACTCATGCATTTTACTTTGGCACTACTCCAATCTTCCCAACAATACATTTCCACCCACGCCTTTTCAACACAACTTTTATTGCCTCTTCAATTAGCCAAGTCGGAGTTTTTTTAATGTCGCTTCAAAGCAAATAGATTCCTCGCTCTTCCGAATCCATGCAAGTCAGACATGGCATGGCGTTGTTTGCCCATGAAGACGCAGTCCGGTTAATCTGTGTAATTTCGGCGGACGTAAAGTGGGGATGCGATCGCTTTCCTGTCAGTGCTTGAGCGCCGGAACACGGGCTGATCGGCCGTGGCTGAATTATACATTTGGATCGGTGGATTGGTGCTTGGCCGCGCGGTCTCTGTCAATGATGCTGCTGGAGCTGATGAGAGCTGGTGACGCCGGACGCAAGAATGATTCAGATAATTTTTTTTTTTTGGCTCGAATCCCAAAAAAAAGTTGAGAAGGGGGTTACTGAGCCGCTCCATGCTGCTGCTGCTGTTGCGTAATACCGCTCTGTGACTCAGCTTCTCTTAAAATCGGGATGTTTTATTGTTGAAATATTCAAGTCAAAGGGTTTAATCGTGTGTTTCCGCTTTTGCCGTCAGAACTACAGGCTCTATGGACTACAAAGATGGCAACCCACTTATTCATGGGCTTTAACAAGTCAAAGTAAGTTAAAACAGTGAGTGTATGTGTAATGTACGTAATGGTTTTTGTCAATGATGCTGTTAGAGCTGATGAGAACTGGTGACGGCGAACGCAAGAATTATTCCGATTTTTTTTTTTGGCTCGGATCCAAAATAAGTTTTTTTTTTTTTTTTACATTTGAGAAAAATACATTAAAAGAGATGAAGAGGGTTACTGAGCCGCTCCATGCTGCTGCTGTTGCTGTTGCACAATAGCGCTCTGTGACTCGGCTTATCTTAAAATCGGGATGTTTTACCGTGGAAATATTAAAGGTAAAGGTGCACTTTATTAATCCCCGTAGGGCAATTCAATCCTCTGCATTTGACCCATCCTGATGCCACCAAGGCTCACGTCAGGAGCAGTGGTCGCCGTAGTTACATCGCCCAGGAACCCATCTCCAGATGTTGATGCTCTGCTTGGTCAGGACCGGAGCTGTAGGATTTTACCTAGTGTGCATGTTTTTAGTGGTAGGGGAAACCGGAGCACCTGGAGAAAACATACGCAGACACAGGGAGAACATGCAAACTTCACTCAGAAAGACCCTGTTTCGACCGGGATTCGAACAAATCTGCTCAGCCACCGTGCCGCCTCAGTGTGAATTTTTTAAGTCACCCCAAAAGTGAGAGTTGTGTTTTGAACCAGAGTCAACTTTAGATCAAAGTTGCCAAAGGGTTTGATTGTGGGTTTTAGCTTTTGCCGTCAGAACTACAGGCTCTACAGACTACAAAGATGGCAACCCACTTTTTCATGGCCGTGAATGGACAGCCATCCGCTCCCGGATCAAGTCAAAGTAAAAACAGTGGGTGTGTTGCCATAGTAATAGAACCCTTGCATAAATAGTGTATTATTGTCACGAATGTATGTCATTTCAATATTTGTATTCATCTTATGGCTATGATATCACAGCAACATCTCACACATGCTTTTGAGTATTGTAGTGATTGACAGATGTTAGTCCCGCCTCCTGCAAATACACATGATCTCAGACATTTTTCAAACGTATACATTTCAAACTAAATAATAGACATTGTTAAGGTGTTAGACAAAGCATGCCTTCATTTGCCTTCAACTCCTCTCACTCATTCAAAACAACTCAAGTCACACACACACGCTAACACACACACACACACACACACACACACATGAACCAAAACCCTCTCTGACCCGACACCTTCTTTACACAGAAACAGGTTTGAACACGTTTCTATGGTATTTAGTCATTCAAGCCTTGTTTTCATGATAATTGTCTATTTGCCCTTGTTGATAAATGACTCATTTTCTATTTCGATCCAAGAGAAGTCGACACATTCAAGCAGATGTGGTTTGAAAAATGCAATAAAACTTTGGATGTGCTCCGACTGCCACCCCCCTGACCCAGAAATGGATTAAGGGGAAGAAAAAATACGTAGCCCACTGAGTATTTACATCTGGACAAACTGTACAAGGGACATTTTCTATTGAGCGGTAAAGCACGAGTTATGGAGGCATTTGTGAACGAGTACTTTTTGAAGAGTTGTGCTGGGGATGCATTTTAATTAACACTAGGACTCCCAGAGCAGTCATTTTGACAATTCTGAACATCTAAAGAAAGTTAGTTTTGCACCAGTTTTCTAAAAAGTCAGTTACTGTATAATATATTTACCTTCACTCACTTTGACTCTTGGTGCAACAGCAAACAGTAGTAGATATAAGATATAAAAACACCTTAGATTTGATCACCTCTGCTCTTGCCTCTGGGGCTATCTGAGATGGTATGTGTATTTCCAGGAGGCGGGACTTACATCTGTCAATCACTACAACACTAATAAAATATAACAGACCAGGCAGAGTGAAAAACCAGCACCTTGGAGAAAAGGGGTTTAACTGCCATAGAATGTATCAAAATGACTGCTCTGGGAGTGGAAGTTTTCTCAGGATGAAAAAATAAAAACTCTCTGTGTGTGAGAGAATTAAGAATTAACTTTCAGAATGCACATGTGTCTTTTCTATGTGAAGAATGAGTGTGTAATTATTGGATTGTCACATGTAGCTGCTCTAAAACTTATTATGCTAATTAGACGCTAAATCAAACTAAAGTCTTCTCGAACTGCTCATGCATGCACTTTTTCTCCCAATTTCTCGATTCAGGAAGTAATAAAACTGAGCTGTGTGTTGTTGGCGCAAATGTATAGTTTTTTTACACATATTTTTTCCCATGATTACATAATAAAATTGATGATGTCCTTTGTTTGGTTTAAAAATGGAACAAATTGCGTTCTCTGGCACTAAGCTTTGCTAAGCAGCCATCTGGGGATTTTTCCTCCTGGCCAAACTGCGAATGCCCACGGATTCAGCTCTGCCCTGAAAAACAAGGCTGAGTCATGATGACACATTAAGAGAAGTCCCTCCTATAGAATAAAGAAGCAGCATGGAACTTTTCTGGTCCACCTCGGCCGTCTCCATGGCAGCGCTATCTTTAACCCATTGACTACAGCCGTTTTTGATGATTTCCCTGATTTTCAAGAGCCACAGAATGTTATTTCCTAAGCCTATGTGAAATATGAAACCAGATTCTGAAAGACTGGATTGTCTACTTTGATCAGCGAAAATAAGTTTGTTTCTAGCTGTTTTTATTGTCCTGTAATGCCCAGTGGAATAGAGGGTCTCAGACAAATACGTCAATGGCAGTCAATGAGTTAAGATGGACACGCTAACTTTCAAACCGCAAAACATTGAAGTTATAAAATCAAAGTAACTTTAGTTTCTAGCTCTAAAACACAGTTTGCTTCTATCACTAGTTTTCATATGTACAGGTGTGACTGAAAATACTGTAAATGTAAACTAAAATATCGTTCAAAAGTCAATTTTCTTCTGGAATTGAACTTACAATGTGACGCCTGACACGCAGAGTGAAATATATACAAACTTTATTTGTTTCAATGTTGATAATTATGTCTCACAGCTGTAAAAACCCCAAATAAAACATTTCAGAACATTTTTTATTTTATTTAATTGACTGTAAGCCATTGTTATAAACAGTGTAACACACAGAAGTCGCTCAAGAGAATAAATCGCACCAAAACGCATAATAACAAACATATCGTCGCACCCCCGGCCAAACTATGACAAAATCTGCGTTTTATAATCCAAAAAATACGGCAGATCATTGGAATAAATGTGTTCTATAATGAATATATGACGGAACAACAACAGTGAGTGCACCTTTAAGCGACTGACAAAACTTTTCCCACGACTTTCAAGCTTAGGATTGACTAAAGTTGATTTCACGCTCGTCTGCTTATTGCATAGTAACAGGCTTTAAATTGTACATTGATGGAGCCATATTTTACAGTGCACATATCAATGCACATTTGGACAGAGGTAAACGTGCCCATAATGACTCCTGTCCCATTATTGACTTATTTGGCTGATTCTACAGCAGAGATCGGCCGGTGATGTGTCCGGCATTGACCTGTGCAGTGCTTTGTGCCGTTGGAATTATTTCAGACTATCGTAAATCAACAATATCAATGTCTTTTTATTGTGTTTGCTTTGTTTTGGAGCGGTTTTGAGGTTGGCAATTAGGCCGGCAACCAAAAAGGATATTAGCCGATTGATTGGGTTAGCTTGGTCAAATGAGGTTTTCTTCAAATCCACTAAAGTTGGGTTGCTTTAAACGCGCTTTGAGAATCAAAGACATTCCAGAACAAAACCAAGAACTCAAAGGAAAATTCTGTTGAACACATAACTTAAACTGAACTTTATTTTTAATTTTTACCAGACATGACTATTATCAGAACGGCGACTTGTCTCACATTTTCTGCTGCAACATGGACCACGCCTTGTTCTACGCCAGCTCCATTCTGTGCAGCACAATACATGCAATTTTGATAATATTAGTCATGCTGCAAGTAGCTCCAAAACTGTTTGTGCCTGACATGTTGCTTCAGTACAGTGTTCATGGTTTTACACTGGTCCAGACCAGAGCAGAGAGGATTCATGGTCCGAACCAAGTGGATCAGGTGAAAATCCACTGGAGGAATGCTAACTTTTTGAAAAAGCTAATGAACCATTTAGCATTTTACTTTGGACCAGAGCAGAGAAAATGGTTCAAACCAAGCGGCTACTCCACCTTTTGACCTGTCCTGCTCCACCCAGAGGCTACTCCACCTCTGCTGCTGTGACCTGTCCTGCTCCACCCAGAGGCTACTCCACCTCTGCTGCTGTGACCTGTCCTGCTCCACCCAGAGGCTACTCCACCTCTGCTGCTGTGACCTGTCCTGCTCCACCCAGAGGCTACTCCACCTCTGCTGCTGTGACCTGTCCTGCTCCACCCAGAGGCTACTCCACCTCTGCTGCTGTGACCTGTCCTGCTCCACCCAGAGCATCTGTCAAAAGGAATTCAAGGCTCTTTTCAAATACTTCTTTAACTGATAACAATAGTTCAGAGATATTTGAATTTCTAAATCATTTTTCCAGCCCCTAAATCTTGTTGTTGTCATTTCGATGTCTCCACCGTTTCACCAATCAGAAAGTCTGTGATCCGGGCGCCAGAACTCACCGCGTGGAGCTAATCTCACTGGTAAAGTACCATGTGGCGCAGAACTAAAAAAGGTCTCGTTATGGTTCTCAAACCATTAACAACAAAACAAGGAATCATCTTTTGGGCAGATTTTTACATTTTTCTCCTCTGAGACAACAGCTGTATATGAAATCTTTTAAATTCACCAAGATACTGTGCTTTGTGTCGGATAAATGCATTTCTACACCGTCCCCGACATACTCCCCTATTGTTCCATCTGTAGTTCGTTCGAAGCTTCCCAATGATAACGCCGAATAAAAAGTAATCGCTGTGAAAGCCGATGATTCACGACTCCGTCCCTGAAGCTACATTAAGCACATTGATCCGCAGCCTTAATCCTAATGCAAAAAATAAACAGTGCGTAAATTCCCAGTCCACTTTTCCTGACGATCGATACACGCTTCTGTCTGTGGAGTCGCCGTTTGAAGACCAGCAAAGACCGAGAACACTTTCACCTTTGATCCGTTTTGATCCTGACATGGGGCCACACGGTCGGGGGAAAGATTGCGTCCATGTTGGAAGTCGAGGGATGACATTGAAAATTCCGGGGGACGAATAAATGTTTATCTTCTCTTCTCTCAATATTGATCCAAAATGATTTCATAAAACAATAGTGTCTTTACAATTGCAGAGTGCTTTTTTTTTCTATTTTTATTGTGAAAATATTGACATACAATACAAGTGCAGACATACAAACAAATACAGACACATTAAGACAGACAAGAGAGAGAGCGATGTTTTTTGAAGTATCTCTAAGCGCTGTCTACTGTATTCAGTCACTCTTTAAACAGTGGACTATCTGTTGTACAGCTGCCCTGGGTCAGACTGACAGACATGTGGCCCCTCTGACCACCACCATTCACTCACTCACCACTTTCACACCGCATGGGGATTAGTCCTGGTGCTGTAGCCTGAGACCTGGATCTATAGCGCTGTCCGTGGGAGCGGATCACTCTCTCATTGTGGACCTCCCCGAGATTTTCCTTGCCGATAGAGGGGGGGGGGGGGTGTTAAACTGTCAGAGGGTACAACTAAAAGGACTGTGGTAATGATCCAAGACACTGCCCCTTTTGGACCAGTGTTTTTTAACATTGCATTTCTTTGCGGCCCTCCGTGTCATTTTATGTGGCCGTCTGGCATACTAACCCAAAGTAGTCTCGTTGTGTGCCATAGACGCATTCATGCGTCAATTGCGTTTTCCGCTATTTTCATGCTCCCAAATGTCTATTATATCTAATATGTATGAGGATTAGCTTGAGAGCGTATTTTATCGAGCCAGCAGGTGGCAGCAGCGCTCTCTGGATGGTTTGAAAACAGCAAGAGGCACTTGATGTGCTTCTTTTTCTCAGCTTTTCTGAGACTGGTGATTTCAACAAAACTTCCCTCTACTCGACTGAGGATTACAGGGGAACAAAACAAGCTAGAAACAAAATAATGAAAAATGTATGATGAAAGTAGACAGTCCATTCTTTCAGAATCTGGTTTCGAATTTCAGAAAGTCATAGTACACAGTATTCTGTGGGTCTTGAAACATCAATAAAAATCATCAGAAACTGCTGTTCTGAAATGGGCTGGCAGACATAAGTTCATTGTGTCATCAATCCAACTTCAGCTCAGCAAATAAAGACCTTTGTCTAAAGTCGTTGACTTTATTTGCACGAACTTTACTGACGTAGTTTTGGATTGTGTCACTTCTGTTAATGATGCTACTGTAGCAGGTGAGATGGTAGACATTTGTCATTCAGCCAACTTCAGCTCTGTTATAGATAATCATAAAGCGAGTCAGTTTTTCAGTCCGTGATGTCGGCGCCTGGACTAGTCTGGTGAATTAAAGTGGCCCTCTTACTGAAATGTTTGGACACCCCTGCTTTAATCTGTGTTGGCAAGTTCAAGGGTTTTGTTAAGTCCGATGAGATGTTGTTATTTAGGGCTATACAAGAAAACATTGAATTTAATGGTCCCTTTAATGTTTCCTGTTGTTTTATAAAGAACTCTCTGTTGCTCTGTAAAACACACTTTATTCTCCATGTACTGTATATAAAAACAGCTGAAATAATTGACTGTGGATTGAAAATGAAGACACGTCAAAGGAATTCCCATTGGATTCAGATCAATAGTGAGACAGTGCTGAACAAGTGCTGCTGTGTGACATCAAAAGCAAGGAAAAGCAAAAAAGTCAGTGGGCGGGACGAATAATTGTCTCTCTTGGTTGAACAGTGCGCACCGCCCCTTTAAGACATGTCTGTGTCAGTCTGTGGACGAGGTAGCAGCAGGCACAGCGGGGGGTCCATCCCTGCTGCGCCTCCTCTGCTGCGACACCGGCTCCGTGCTACACTCAGTGGTTTGTGATAGGCCGACCACTGGCTTTTCTGACATGAGCTCAACATCCGCCGCCGAAGCTCATTTGTTTGTCCAGATGGATCCCTGCGGAGATCCAGAGGGAAAGCTCGTCTAAAACATTACATGCATTTTGAGAAGCTTTACTGTATGTTCTGGGATTCAGCTGAGAGACAAATTGGATAAAAGATGTAGTCTTGCAGGGGAAATGTCAGATATTTTAATTTTGTTCTGCTTATTCTTTTTGATTATTGTGTTAATACTTAATCCTTGGTCAAATTTTGCAGGGGAAGAAAGAAGGGGAAAAAATCTGGATCAAATGAGGAATGACTTTGACTTTAAGAATGCAAAAAGGAAAACGCACACATGCTTGTGTTTGTATCCACACAAACACAAGCATAATACCCAGGCATACACACAAATACACTCAGCACTCACGCTCTATCAGACACAGACATATACACACACATGCATGTATACCCACTCCGGCACACACACACACACACACATGTTGTATGTTTTGTATGACCTGCTCAAATAAATTGATATCAAATCAAATTAAAGGAAAAGGTCCGAGGCACTCAGTCATGTGATTTTCTATCCCATTTATTATTCCATTTCTGGGTTGGGAGGTGGCCATCAGAGCTGCACCCAAGTCTCACAGCACCAGCCCCTCACTCATCCTCTGCAGGGGGTGGGGCTTCAGGAAAAGTGGGGTTATGTGTCAGTGGGAGCAGATGACATGGATCGTAGGGGGATCGAACCCACAACCATTAGGTTCAAAGACCAATGCTCTGCCAACTGGTCTTCATGAAGGCAAGGGGACTTTAAGGAATGTATGGCGTGTGAAGAATGTCCCAATAAATACCTCATATAAGAAGAATCTTATTATGGAGGGAAAGAATTTGTGACTAAACCAGAAGTTTTTCTGGCTTGAGCCATTTTTCACTGATAGTATTTTTTGTTTGTCCCAACAGAAAACCTTTTTTGAATCCTCATCGTATTCAGAAAGATGATATATTCACCATAAAGAGAAAGATCTTTGTGAGTCACTGTTTGATGCTTTGGGCCGAGAGCTGACTGGACCATCACTCAGCCACTCTTTTTTTACTTTTTGGTCTGAAAAATCTGACCTGAAAATGTGACAAAGACATGCATGTGAAAACTGTTTTAAGAGCCAGGATAAAGTCACTGTTACGACCCGAAAGACAGAACATGTTTGAGGACACAAAGACAGAGTTCACAATTGATTGTATTTATATATTTTCTTGTTTGAGTGAACTCTAGATTTTATATTATTTTAATATATAGATTTATTTAAAAAAAACAACCCAGTGTCCGGAACACAAAAACACAAAGTTATCAAATTAAAGGTGGACCTGGTGGGCGCCAAAACAAACTAAATAGGCCGACACCGAACCAACCCTGTACAGCGCCGTCCGGATCCAATGCCGACACCCGAACTAAAGAATAAATAAAACCCAACTCGCTACACCCTCACCACGAAAATGTAACCACCGGACCCACCAGATCAAACAAAAATAACTACAGGAAAAAAGGTTAAAAAAGTGACAAAACCGTGCGGCGTCTGAGGAGGCCGCAAACACGACCAGGAGGGGGCGCTCTCCTCAGCAGGTGTTACCAAAGAGGCACCGGGACAGCGCTTCTTATAGACCCGGCCTGAGCTGTAAAATACTGTATACACAATAAGTTAAAAAAGTTTATCAAAACATTAACAAAAATGTAACCTATAAAATATACTTATAAATTTTTTTTACAAAAATGTATAAAACCCAAAAATACCTGGACTAAAAAAAGACACAAAACCAAAAGGGAAAAGGTGCCCAAACAAAACAGTTGGATGGATTTAAAGTAAGTGATCAAGAATTTTAGCACATTTTTCAAGGTCACCAACAGCACTTTTCGATGTTCAGATTCAGATATCAGATATTACAGTGCCTTGCGAAAGTATTCGGCCCCCTTGAACCTTTCAACATTTCGCCAAATTTTAGTCTTCAAACATAAAGATATAAAAATTTAATTTTTTGTCATGAATCAACAACAAGTGGGACACAATCGTGAAGTGGAACGAAATTTATTGGATAATTTAAACTTTTTTAACAAATAAAAAACTGAAAAGTGGGGCGTGCAATATTATTCGGCCCCTTTACTTTCAGTGCAGCAAACTCAGTCCAGAAGTTCAGTGAGGATCTTTGAATGATCCAATGTTGTCCTAAATGACTGATGATGATAAATAGAATGCACCTGTGTGTAATCAAGTCTCCGTATAAATGCACCTGCTCTTTGATAGTCTCAGGGTTCTGTTTAAAGCGCAGAGAGAACCATGAAGACAAAGGAACACACCAGGCAGGTCCGAGATACTGTTGTGGAGAAGTTTAAAGTCGGATTTGGATACAAAAAGATTTCCCAAGCTTTAAACATCTCAAGGAGCACTGTGCAAGCAATTATATTGAAATGGAAGGAGTATCAGACCACTGCAAATCTACCAAGACCCGGCCGTCCCTCCAAACTTTCATCTCAAACAAGGAGAAGACTGATCAGAGATGCAGCCAAGAGGCCCATGATCGCTCTGGATGAACTGCAGATAACTACAGCTGAGGTGGGAGAGTCTGTCCATAGGACAACAATCAGTCGTGCACTGCACAAATCTGGCCTTTATGGAAGAGTGGCCATTTCTCAAAGATATCCATAAAAAGTCTTGTTTAAAGTTTGCCACAAGCCACCTGGGAGACACACCAAACATGTGGAAGAAGGTGCTCTGGTCAGATGAAACCAAAATCAAACTTTTTGGCCACAATGCAAAACGATATGTTTGGCGTAAAAGCAACACAGCTCATCACCCTGAACACACCATCCCCACCTCAGCTGTAAAAATGTTATATCTTTATGTTTGAAGACTGAAATATGGCGAAATGTTGAAAGGTTCAAGGGGGCCAAATACTTTCGCAAGGCACTGTATCTCTTTCCATAACGAGGTGATGACAGTACCGTTTTATTTTTTGCGTCTGGTTTTGACAAACACAATCAATCAATCAATCAATCAACGTTTATTTGTAGAGCGCCTTTCCTACACAAGGCAACGCAAAGCGTTTCACATCCCCTATCACATCATGCATAAATCAAACACATTAAGAGCACAAGATATATTAAAAACATTAAAAATTACTGTGACACTGTCGTGTGGGAGAGATCTGTCAGCTCTGGGCCCTCTTGTTCTACACCTAAGTGCCCGGTTCGGAATAAAGAGCCTGCGGACTGCGAGGAGCCATCCAGCGCCGTGGCCCATGTCCTGAGCCTTTCAAACCGCTATGCAGCCCTCTCCGCTGACATCCCAGCCCCCTCAGCAGAACCCCTGGACTCTGCAGCAAACTCTACTGCTGTCCGTGGATCCAGGTCCACTGCGAGAAAGACACTCTTAAAGGAAGATGTCCTCAGACAAAAGAGTGGTCATTCCCCTTCTCTGACCCCAGTGCATCACCACCACTTACCTTCACCGGGTCAGCAGCAGCGATCCGAGCCTGCTCCTCTCGCTGCTCCAGCGTCTCCGTGCACACAGCGTGGGTTGCCCGGAGCTGGGAATCAACACCCCCACTCCTCTCCATGTGTTCAGCAGCGCCCTGGTTCGGACCCATCCCTGGATGAGCCCGCTGGTTCTGGCCATGGACACCGAGCGCCCTCTCCGCGGCCGCGTCCACTCTTCGCCCCAACTACTCTGATTGTTGGAGATTCCATCGTGAGGCACGTCCGCTTTTTTAACGCGGTCACTCACTGCATTACTGGAGCTACTGTCCCAGATCTGCTCATCCGTCTCCCTCCTCTGCTTCAGTCCCTGCCTGATACCATTTCAAAGGTAATCGTGCATGTGGGGATCAACGACATGAAGCTGCAGCAGTCCGAGGTCACAAAGAAGCACTTTATGGATCTGTTCCGCCTTCTCCAGTCCTCAGGGTTATCCGTTTTTATTTCTGGTCCAGTCCCGACTGTAAACCGGGGTGACTGCCTCTACAGTCGCGTTGTGGCGCTCAACATGTGGCTCCAGTCTACATGCAGCACTTTTAACTTTATTTTTGTGAACAACTTTGGCCTGTTCTGGAAGCGTCACGTGGCCTATCGTCCAGATGGTCTGCACCCGAACAGATACGGCACCAGTTTGTTGACGGACTTCCTACGCCATGTTGTTCAGTGCTCCCCGAGGGGGGCGTGACTGTTTACATCTGAGGCTTCTCGGCCCCCACCACCCCCCCTCCTCCTCCTCCTTACCAGCACCGGGTGAGTACTGTGGTGCAAACACTGACCCCTGTCCGTCTGGCAGTGTAACGACAGTCCTGCCACTGAACTGTGCTGACTCAGTTATGCATCTGGAACTTAACAAAGTACAACAGAGTTCACTTTTTAAACCAATAGAGACTGTGTGTGTTCCTCGCACCAGCTCAGAAATGTGTTTTAACTTGAATAAACACAAATTTAAAAGAAGGACAGCAGTTAGACGGTCCAACTCTGGAAATCTAATTCCAGTTCTTTGTAATCAATCAACTAAACCCACTGACACTGATATTAATTTTAACCTTGCTCTACTTAATGTCAGATCACTATGCAACAAATCATTTTTAATTAATAATTTTATCTGTTCGTATGATCTTGATTTTATGTTTATGACTGAAACATGGCTTGACCATAATACAGGAGATGCAGTTTTAATAGAAGCCTCACCACCAAATTTCAAATTTGAATATGAAACACGAGAAAATAAAAGGGGGGGGGGGCATAGCAGCAGTTTTTAAAGATCGTATTGTCTCCCATAGGGTGTCTCTTGGGAAATTTTCATCATTTGAGTATGTTTCTTTTAAAATAGAACAAAAGAAATCTTCTTCCATTCTTATTATTGTTGTGTACAAGCCGCCACAGTCATGCCATAGTTTCACTGATCATTTCACTGAGTTGCTTTCAGTTGTGTGCACAGATTTTGATGGTTTAGTCATTATAGGCGATTTTAATATTCATGTGGATAATGTTAATGACAGATACGCAAAAGAGCTGAGTTCCATACTTGAATCCTTTGGCCTCACTCAGCATGTGAGTGGCCCCACCCATAGCAGA